TGGCGAGGGGGTTTTAACAGAATAAGTTCTGGGGTAAATTTTGGAAGGCAGATGCGTTGGTAGATAAGACACTACCCAGAGATTTCACCCTCATTTTATGAGGACTTTATGATCTGAGTTCTGGTTTCCTATAGGCGCAAGCCCCTATAGTTAATTATCCTTCTCGGTAACGAGAGAGAACTTCCGATTATTAAACTCAAACTTACATAGTCATAATAAATCTTTTTATACACTATGATATAATTGATAATATATTTTTGCATGGATAATTTAGGGATAAAAAAAATACGTTTAAAATTGAAAATTTTCAGTTGAAATTGTTCACCTTAAACTCTACTTGAATTATCTCGAGTCAAAATCAAAATTTTAATATCAAATTTTAATTGGTTTGCTTTAATTCATATCACTCTTATACTAACGATAGTCTAAAGTTTAAAATACTATTTGCATCAGAGGATTGATCATGGCCCATCAAGTTTCTCGAATGCGGTTATCTTTAGCATGAGCTTATTTCTTCCAAACAACCAAAAAAATGAGTTTACATTAGGGAATTATTCATTGGGATTGCACTTTAATTTCTATCATTAAGTTCGTTATAAGGTCAAAAAAGCTTAAAAAGATTTTGTAGAGTTTCCTTAAGAACGAAAAAGACCATCCTTTATATTATCCTTTAAGGGGGTATTTAAAGGTCCATTTGCAAATGATATTTATTATACCTTTATCAATTCTTATATGGTGGAATTGGTGGAGAGAGATGGTTGAGGTTGTAGAAGTGGAAAGACTTTTTAATGTAATGCAAATTCAATATAAAATGACACATCATTGATACTTGGTGCTTCATTAGAATTGTCCACTAAAAATTAATTGGTTTATTTTATTTTGTAATGAAGAAGTCTTTCTTAAAGAAATAGTTGCCTTTTATGAAAGATTTAATGTTATTTTACTTTATTGTATTTTGATAGTTTTCCTTTATTTCTATTCTTTATATGTTCAAAATCTCTTTTGTATAAGCTTATTGTAATATATAATTCTAATAAATAAATGAGTAAAATTACAAGTGCTCTAATCACTCTCTTCCTAAAGTGTTCAATCACTTTCCCTCCCTATCTTGATCCCTCTATGCTCTAAGTTAGTTATTGCTCTCCTCATGTTTGGAGATCTCTTAAGTCCAAATTTTCTTTTATCATTCAAATAACCCAAAGATAAATCACCGTTACCAAGTCAAAATAATGTAATAGATAATCACTTTAATTCCAATTCATGAGGACACTCTAATGCCAGTTGATGTGGATGGTTGATTAACATTAACACCAAAGGATGTGAATGCAAAAATAGGGGAGTTATTGATGGCAATGAATTTAGCTTAAAGATGTTGAAGATAATTTGCACTCTTGTTAATTGATAAGGGGAAACAAGATTTGTTTTGAAGTATTAAAGAGAGGGAAAGACGAATGAACAATAAAGAGAGAGAGAAGAGCATGATATATATATATATACACACACACAGAACAACATCAAACTTGCTTCAAAATATGATATTTATCGACAATTCATTAAGTATTTTACTAGTATTATTTATGTATAAAAATGATTTTATATATGATGAAAAAATTTATGATGGATTGATATGGACATAGAAATCTAGATGACTAGTTCGACATATCTCAATCAATTGCACTTGCCAAACAACATATTTAAATATCATGACATTTTGATAGATAATAGAAAATAACAAATTAATTAATTTAAAAAAATAATTAAAGTGCAATCAAATTAAATAAATGATGAATCTTTCATACAAGATAAATATTAGATAAAAGGATTTTCTAAATTAATAAATATTTGGTTACTTCCTCATTATCTGAATAATCTTACTGTTTTCTTAAAATGAATTTTCATTGATATATGAAATTATCAAAATGAGATTGATCCTTCAATATTCCTAAATATTAGATCCAAATTCTTATGTGCCTCGTAAAGATCAAGCTACACATAATTCAAGAGACAGATAGATAGAGAGACATAGAGAGAGAAAAAAATTATATTTTGAAATGTAAGAAACAAAAGTTGATTAAAAATGAGCGCATGGGCTTTGTTAAAGCAAAAAAATTTGTCACAGATCTTATGACAAAATTCCTATGGAAAGTAACCCCCCCAGTATAAGCTGTCATCTGCCACTGTCCACCGCTGCCGCCGCCATCCAACATCGTTGCCCTCCAACGCCAGCCGACGGCCACCCCGGGCACAACAATTTTACAATTTATATTGCATTCACTTTACTTCAAACCAAATAATAAATAAATAAATAAAATAAAGTCACATATTCTTTTTATACTTATCCAAATAACTCCAAAATATTCATTTTACACGCATTCCTTTTTAGGCAACCAAACAACCCCTAAATCTAATAATAATGGTAATGTTAAATTTATTGCTATAAATAAAAAAATGGATCTACAAATTTCCTATAAAATTAACAAATTGTAGTTCTAATCTCCATAATCTAACTGAAAACACATTATACGAACAACAAATTCAAATCCAAAAAAATTTTCAGGGAAAAATTTTTCAAACTGTTTTAAAGAAATCTAACAAATGAAATTTGAAATTTATTATAATCTTAGAAGAGATAGAGATTTACCTTTAAATCCAAATCAACTAGAATGAGCAAGCAACTGGGGCAAGCAAAAATGGCCGAAGTGTGGCCACTCAATTATGTTTACGTGAAATGGAGAAGAAAGAGGCTGGTATTTAGAAATTATGGTCAAGCTGGCATATTTTTTAGCAAAAATTTCTGCCAGTTTTAAGTAAAAATGTTTGACTAAAACTTCCCTAGAAATTTAATCACGTCCGAATTTTCTGATAGAAATTATCATTGTAATTTTTTATGGACATATCACATATAGATCAAAAAATACTCTAATAATAAATTATTTTTCTCTGGCAAATTTTTGCGGAAAACTGCGCGAAATTCCTGTCTCTTCTAAATCCATCGAAAATTTTGTCAGAAATAAGCATGTTTACTGTAATGTCTAAAAATGAATGAGAAAAGCAAAGTTTAAACTTTCATATGAATTAGATGTTATTAACATTGAAGTTTATTTGCAAAACGCATAATCCTCAATTCATAATCATTCTATTCCCATTATTTAAAGAATGTTTAGTGAATAATCGTAATTTAAGTGAACATGCGCTTCAAATAAGAATGAGAAGGATAGATATTATCCACTTTTGTTAAGATGCCCTTACGACATTATTTTATCCTCTTTGTTAAAATATTTCCAATCCTTTCAAAATTTATTGACATTTTCCCAATCAATTTATTCACATGAATGAAACATTTAAAAGCGATTTCACAATAAATGCTTTATATTAAAGAAAATGTATGTGTATACTTGCATATATCTTCACATGCAATTAATATGTAGTTGACGAGTCAGAATGATAGAATTCTCATCTAGTGAGACCCATAACTAGGGTGTAAACGAGTTGAGTAGAGCTCGAGTCATTCTTAACTCGAGCTCGGCTCGTCGGCCAAATCAGGAGCTCAACTCAAGCTCAAATGGCCAGCTCGTGCTCAACTCATGGCGACGGATGAGAGCTACGAGGCGTAAGGCTGACATTGTCTTCCGCTTCTAGATTCGATTCCAGCTTCCGTGTCTGCGGTTCAATGCGATTTTGCGTCCAAGCTTCTACTTCAGTGCCCACGCTTCTTCTTTCATACCTGCCCATCCACTTCTGCACCATGCTTCTGCTTCCGCATCTGTGATTCAGCCTTTAACTCCCATTTCTATGGCAGCAATTCTTCCTTTCGCCTTCCTCCCCTTCGAGGTTCCACCTTCCACACTCGAGCCTACTCGCGAGCTTACTAGTTGAACCTCATCAAGCTCAAACTCGAGCTCGTTTAACATATGAGCTCCAGTTTAAGCTCGAGCTCTAGCTAGTCACTCAATAAGCTTAGCTCACAAGCTTAGTTCGATCCGACTCGCTAGACTTACACCCTAACTCACAATTGCGCACACCCAAGGATTAACAAGCACTACTTGCCCTTGCCAAAAGGAGGTTGTCCCTCATAGGAGGCAATCAAAGGTCATCACTGATCAAGTGGCTCATCCTTTTCCACATAAGAAATCAGTCATCATGGCCACTTGCTATTATCCAAGGCGGGCATCCTCATTCATATTTGACAACCTCAACTGCAAGAAAGCGCCTACCCAAGAAGCTCTCATCTATCCTTGCCACAATCATCAACCATAAAGCTCTTGCTCCAACGAAAAATCAACTTAATCTCCTCCCTCCCCAAAGGCGAATCAACCCTCCAAAATAGGTCGCCAGTAATCCCAAAATGCCTACAAGTTGTAGGTTCCCTTAACTCACTACTTGCCAATGGACTCGCCCATACACACTCGCTTCAACCAACTCAGCATCGCTGAACTCATCTAGAGACCGGTCATTAAAGTCATACAATGTCGTCCTAGCCTCCCCATAACTAGTCAAGGGGCGACCAATGTCCTTGGTAGTTTGTACGGGACTCATTAAATTAATATGATTTTACTCTTTCATATTATAAATTTTCATCCATAGTCCTTGCATCCCTGTAAATGAAGGGTGAGAAAAGAGCATGTTGGATCATTTGACTCATTTAGATTTGAGCCTCTTGAACACGTACACAGGATATTTGTTCTTGCAAATTATTCTCTCCATTCTTATACAACTCCTAGTCACTCCTCTCAAAGCTCGCTTAGGTTACTTAGGCGTCACCAATAAATAGATTCGGATTCAACATGATGAATTCAAGTGTAATTAAAGGAAAAAGTGTTTTAATGTTTGTGTGTATATATATATATACACGGTAATGCTTAATCAAAGTCGATTTAAATAATTTCAAATAAAATGTATATAGACCACATATGATTTTACATTTTCAAAGAGATGAATTTAATAGAACTCATATTTGAAGCTCAAACAGGCTATTAGTATAAATGCGTTGTTTTTTTTTTGAAGAAAATGCAACCAAGTGCATTTAAATATTATTGAAAACTAAAAGCAAAAGCTAAAGGTAACCATAAAATTCCTCCTTTAACAAAGAGATAAAGGAAGGAGGAATCTTATTAAGAACTAAATCATCCCAAATAAAGGAAGTAACAATAGCATAGTTAGCACAAAGATCCGTTAACTTATTACACTTCCTATCTAAACAATTAAAAATGATATTTCTATAATCTTTGAACATACCTCTCAAATCATCATTCTTGTGAATAGCACCATCTTGCAAGTCCTTGATTACATTTGCATTATCTTCTTCAATGATGATGTCATCATAATTCATCATACCATCTTTATAAACATCTTGAACGGATTGAACAGCAAGCATCTCAAGCCTTGAAACGTCCCAATGAGTAATGGGATATCCAAATGCTAACAAGAACCTGCCTTTGGAATCTCTACATACTCCTCCAATACCTCCTTTATAGGATTAAAGTAGAGAAGCATCCGCATTAACCTTGATCCAACCAGGTGGATGGGGATGCCAATGAACATCCAACAGCTTACCAAGCTGATTGACAGCCCATTGAAGTAGAGAAGCTCAATTCATGGAATAGCATGAAAGCTGCAGGAGAAAGATGAGAGATTAGTGGTGATTTCTCATCCATGATTGAACTGATTGTAGCTCATGGATCATCTCTTTAAAAATTGCCGAGTGGCCGATTTAAAACAGAAACCTCCCTGTTTTTCTGCTCTCGAGCGTCTCTCCCAAGTCTCAATCAACGGACGTTTTATCTCTCACTTCAGAACTTCAAAGCAACGAAAGCGAAACTCCTGCTTCTTGTGTGGTGAGGCATTGCTTGGAGTTACCGGCGATCGTATGGATCAGCCTCAAGAATCGTGACGCGTAGATTCTGAAAAGGAGGTCATCGGCATCATGTCTTCCATACTCTGCAGAAAGAGATCTAATTATGCCATTGATGAGCTTCAGCACACCCCTCCCTCGGCTTCTAAGAGAAGCCACTGCTCTACCGGCACCGCGTCTCCGACACTGAGCTCCGCTTCAGTTTACTCCTCTTTGAGCACAAATGCATCCCCTTCCTTCACCCAGCCAAACGTTTCTGATTCTGCGGGAAACAAAGAAAATTTTCTAAATCATCTCAGAAAACTCTTTCCTCATGTGGAGCAGCAGGTTGTCTATCTATTATATTTCCCTTCGCTTTCAAAAGTATTGCTGTTACTTGAAAAATATAAATGAGCAACTAATTGATTAAAGTCCCCTTCTTCTTTTAGTAAGCCTGATCGTATCAAACAATTGATATTATGATTTTTTAACGATGGCTTTAGGCATTTGGTTTTGTTTGATTTTAGTATTAACTCCTTGGAGTTGATTGCTGACTCTGTCCACTGGATGTTTCGGGACGCTTAACCAATTTCTTTGCTTTCTCTTGTTTAAAAGTGAAATAATGTTTTTTGAATAATACAAAACCTTTTTATTTATTTTATCAGATTATGTTTGATAAGTAAATGGTGTTAGTATCTTGTTTCTATAAAGTATAAATGGTCCTATGTTTTGCTCTTGCAAAATACATCCATGTGAGATTTATGTACTTAATGCAAGCATTGACAACTAATACATACAATTATATTACATATGCTAGGATTGTATATGCTAAAATGAAATTCAAATGCTAAATAACTTTTTTTTGAAAACTATTAGAGAATTTTGTTACTTCTCATTTAAGCTGTTTCTTGGTGGTTGTAAATTATCATTTGTATATTATTTTGATTAATTTAGCAATAAATGATAATGGATTTTCTATTACACTCGATTGATAGTTGTTTCATGTATATAAAGTAACAACAATAAATATTTCTTGCGGAATTTATATCATTGATCTTAAGAACATGGCACGCTGGTTTTACCTACAACATCTCGTCTTGCCAGTATCTTGAAAGAGCGCTTGAAGCTTCTGGAAATGATTTAGATTCTGCCATTAGCAATCTAAATGATATCTGCTTAGAACCAGCTGCAAAAAGAACCGACGATAGAGCTGGAGTAAATATGGAAATTTTGACTATAGGTATGTTTCTTAAATATATCATGCCTGTTTTTTTTTTTTTTTTATGGTTACTGTTATAATTTGTCTTTTCTGCCTTCTTGTTTGAATTTTCATGACTTGTTTTTTAAATGAATAATGCTATCTCATGTGGATCAAAATATTTGCATATTCAATGGCAAAATTGTTGTAATATGATTTTTTTATTTGTTTATATATCTAATGGCATATTTTAATGGGGTTCTGAAATATGATATTGAGAGTATTTCATATTCATTTGTTTAATGAAATGAATTAAAACTCTGGAGAAAAGTACTGTATAGCATTGTTGGGAAGCAAAACATTATTAGGATATAATGATTTTATAAATGGAATTATTTATGGAAAGTAAATCATGATCATTGTGAAGTAAATCATATTCATTCACATGCATACTTCTTCGTGGATCTGTAATCACACTTAGTGGGGTATTCCCTCATCGACAACCACCGTGGTTGGCCTTAAGAGCCATCGATTGAGTTTGATTTGAGTTCATTGCTCGACTATGAGTGATGATAGTTTGAGTCACCCATGATCACCTCGAGTTATCATCGTGCTCGAATTATTATTCCGTGAGTTGCGTCACTTCTGCTTTACTAAATCCAAAAGCCTCCTCATTCCCCACTCTCTCTCTAAATAAAGAGAGAAAATCATCTCCAGCAAAAATCATCTTCTACATCTCCAAACCCATCTCCAAATTCTTCTCCAAGCCTAATCCCTATGTTCCCTCGCTATACAAAAAATTAGCCTCTTTCTCTCTATAAACAAAGAGCGAAAGAGAATTTTCTCTCTCAAGATTCATCCCCCACCATCTCTAAATCCTTTCCTAAGTCCCATCTATCCAAAACCCTCATTAAAAAAATAATTCAAGCTTCTTTTTCCCTCTCTTTCTCTCTCTAAAAAGAGGCATGGGCTCTTTTTCTCTCACTAACACGCTTCTCCATAAAAATAAACACATGTACATGCATATTATTAGTACAGGAGTACTTAAAAAAGCATATACATATGTTCGTTATAGTTCGTTTGCTTGCTTGTAGGTTTCAGCCCGCCATCAATTAGCCTTACTAAGTGCATATATATATAATATTTTTGAAACTCAAAAACATAGAAACCTGTGATGATGCATTCAGTGCGGTGAATGAAAACCCATAGACGTTCTTTTTTTAGCAAGTTGGGTAGAAGCTCGTCGATAGCATTTGCAATGTTACGGGTGGACCCAAATTGTTACTCGCTAGGCGCCACAAGAAAGAGCCCATACATACTTTTCTTAGCATGGTGGGCAGAGATTCGTCGACGACATATGCAATGTAAATGTGTATTTTGGGCTAACCTAAAATTTCTCATGTAGGTACCTCATATATGTCTTTTTTGGCATTGTAGGATGTCAAAATTTTGGTTGCGATGTTATATGACATTGCCCATACGTGTTTTTCTTAGCACTTTGATTAGTCCGATCCGGGAGGTTGTAGGAATTTATATTGAATTTTGGACTTAAAATATACACTACAAGGGACTTAAATTCGCAAGAACTTAATGAGTTTAAATAAACTTGAATGCAAATTAAATACTTAAAAAGTGAAATATGAAAAGTGTTAGAAGAATACAAAGTGCAAGCAAAGAACAAAACATACACCATAGGGAATAGAACTTGTGAGGTCACTCAAGCAAGAAATAGAATTCCAGAACTTTTCAAAACCGTAAGAGGTTTAAACTCAAGTGAAACAAGCCGTAGAGTGAAGCTCCACATTACTCATATTTATAAGGCGTTGACCTCAAAGCCATAACAAAAAATATAAAAAAAGAGATCACTAAAATGATTACCTGCTGAAGCCATACCCGTCGTCGTTATAGTGCCCCAGTTGTGCTTGTCGCCCGCATGTAGAGATCAGTTCGAATTGAGTCGTTAAATACGACAATGAAACGAGGCTTTCGTTTCTTCCAACACGCACGACCCAATAGAGTCGAAGCCTTCTTCCATTTGACAACTCTTGCCTTTTGATCGCCTACCATGCATAGAAACCCACGAATCCTCAAGCTTAAACCGACCTCACGATTCCCTTCTTCTCATTGATTCAACTAGACACATCCGATAACAACCTCCAGACCTCGCCACACTCGACTCCCACAACTTGCTGGCTGCAAACCGACCCCGCTCCACTGTCGTGACGTCCTCAAACTTCCGATCTACCTCCCAGAACTGACTCCGTCCTCTTTCAACCTTCACTCGTCAGCCCTCACAGCCGAACTCAACTCCACGAGCCTCGACCTCCTTCTCCTATCCCGCCGACGCCTCCGACTTGCTCAAGCCCGATCGCATCTCTTGCGATACTTACCTGTAGCCGAAGCCTCCAAGCTGCCTATATATATATATATATATATTGTTAACGTATATTTTGTGCATGTTTACAAATCGTCATCCACATCATGCAGGTATAATCCGCCAAAAACTTTAAAAAATCTCATTTCGACGCTTGCAGCGTGGCGAGTAATAACCACCAATTCGCACTTCTTTTAGCACGGTGGGAGAAAGCTCATTGCGGTGATCGCAACAAGATGAGTAATCCTCCAAATTCCTACTTTCAACATTTGCAACACATCGAAAAATTGCCCATACACGCTTTTCTTAGCGTAGCGGGAAGGGAATTTGGTGCGTCGCCTACGGCGAGACTGGTAAGCTCTATACATGTTGTTGTATCATGGTGGGGACTCTTATAAGCACCCTTAAGCGCTCATGTAATATGGGAGGGGTAGAATTACATATTTTTAAACAGGCACATTCGAAGACCCATACATGCATTTTTTGGCGTTGTGGGGATGAAGACTATGGTCGCGGTGTCACCCGACACTGACTGTACACGTCTTTCTTGAGGAGGCGGGCCGGGCTGACTAAGACTCTTGTAGTTTTTCCTAAACGGAGGAGACGCCGAGAGGTTGTCAAAATTTTTACTGACATAGGACCTTTATATAAATAAGACTTTAACACCTAATAAGAATTTGTGAACTTGAATTGAACAAAATAACAAGAAGGCTTGAATGCTTACAGAAGACCTAGACTTTAATCAAATGACGATGATCTAAATTGAACTTGAATTGCATAGGGTATTTGTGAACTCGAACTTGAACTTGGTTTGAAAAAATCGATAGGGGACTTCAACCTAGATGAATTATTCGAAACCATACTCTTAATAATAGAGAACCAAACTTTTAATTAACAAATACACAACTCACATTAAAATGCAAATGTTAGTTAATAACCCAAAATGTTCAGATGAATGCTAGTAGATGAACATCAGACTTGTGGTGGGCCAATCTCCAAACACACCTTACTTGCAACATGAATTTATAAAGAAATTGTGTTGACTTGCCTATAAGTAAGAATGCAGAACTTCCAATGTATGTCAATAAGCAAACAAAGAACTTGCAAATTTAAGCATGACTTGCTTGTTATTGATTCAAAAAGAGTATAACAAATGTAATATGTGTACAAGTGAAAATCAATTGGAAAGTGAAATAATGTCCTTGCAATCAAAACACAAAACCTCAATGAGATATCAATGAGTCATCACATTGGTTGGAATGCAAATTGCTATTTAGCAATAATGCTAGTGTTGTCATTTGTATCATGAACCAAATGACGACGATCAGCCCATAATACTTATCTCAATCATGCAATTGAATAATGTAAAATGATTACAGTGACAAAAAGGAGTACGTAATTAATTGTTCAAATCAATTTGAGAGATATGCAACTTAATTTTACAGTGACTACAAGGAGTACGCAATGAATTGCTCAAATCAATTTGAGAGATTTGCAACTTAATTACAACCAACAGAATGGAACCTTTGATGTATACTATATCTCACCCATGGACATACAACGGCCGATGCTTCCCTTACCAATCAACTTACCGGTGTAAAGGGGTGAGTGCAATGAATAATGTGGTACATTCATGAACAACATACACAAAAGATGTGCAATAGATATGCCACTATGCAGTCAACATAAGTATACAGTCAAGTGCATCAAATCTTGTAAGCAATATTATTAGTGTTATCATTCACATCGCAAATCAATTGGCCATATGGTGAAAAGCTATGAGGTGCGCGGAAAATCATCTAGAGATGATGATGAAAAATATATAGCAAATATGGCAATTTCTTAGCAATCTCACATCATGTGCAATGAATGCATTGTCCCTACAAACGAATCAAGAAAGGTGTGAAAAAGATATCTCCTTTTTATTTGCGTCAATTGATTTACAAATGGATACATTAAGCTTTCTAAAAGCGATAACGATGAGAATTCAATGATCACAAGGATGCCCTCACAAATCAAGTTTTTAGCAAACACAAGTTTCTTACAGATAAAGGAAGTTGACTTGCAGACAAATATGATAAAATTTCCTACAGTTGAGAGTGTTCTTCGTAGGTATATACAAGAGCGTGTAACCAATACTAGAACATTTTCATAGTCTACAACAATACAATGAAAAGTGAGTACATTTAAACTCTACAAGCGACAAAGGGTTTCGACATGCAACATATTGTCAATTAAGATGTGTTTGAAGAATTCAAAGCAAGGTAACTCTCATACAATTATTGTCACTTTATTTCAATTGAATATGTCAATCCACCTGTGAATGACAAAGCTTATTACAAATACACATGGTGATGTGTATGATGAATGCGAGGGTCCATAAGCAAATGTAGAAGAGTCCTCATTCATATTACAATCCACTCACTAGTGTTAACGAATGACGTGTGATGAATGCTAAATCACTCCTACAGTCAGTAATCACTCAACATTAGTCAAATACATCTATTTTCCACCAATAGAAGCAGACGATACGCAACAAATTGCAGATTCCCACAAGTGACTATAGAAGATTCGTCATACGCACGATATGTTATCCACAAGCAAAATGCCAAAGGGCTACAACAAATGCATGCTCCTATAAACCGTTGCAGAAAACCTGCGTGCCTTCAACATATCACCTGCAGGCGAAAATGGATAATGTACAACAATCACAAGCTTCTATGAGCTACAATAAAAGACATACCACACGTTTAAATATGCCCCCACACATACACTATAATATGTATACACACAAGTATATAGGTAGAGTATTTTTTGTTTGGCTGTTAGTGATTATGAGAGTTTAAGGTATTTCTATTTTAGTTTTTTGTTTTGGTGGAAGCTGAATGGGCAAACCTTTACCTTCAAGTTGGTCCATTGCGGTATGGATATGCTTTTCTTGGGGCAATATATTTTGACTGTTTGGTTTGTTGGGAATGAATATGGGAAAAACTGGATGATGAGGTAGTTGGATATTAATTAGTGCTTTAGTTTAAATTGCAATCTCAAGACTGTTAACATATGGGGTCTTCGGTTTTACCCCTTCCATCTTATCAATCCTTCTGATTTGGCTCGTAAGGAAGGTTTGCACATGTCCAATTGGTGTTTAATGATCTATTTTTTTCTTAATTATCACTTGCATTATGTGTTTCAAATTACTCTTTTGTGTTGGAGGTTGTCTTTTTTGTAGATATGGCGGGCATTTTGTGGGTTTCTTGATTCTGGAAGGAAGCATTTGAGTTTGAAAGTCTTGAGATATTGGAGGTTTGATTATTCTTTTTGCAGGAGTTTTGTACTAATTGATATAATTTTGCAATTCCTTTTTTGGGTGTTGTTGACTTGCAGCCCTAGAATGTTCTTAGATTTTTTTTTTGTAATCTTTAGTATTAGGAACCACTAGCTTCTAAGCTTTTTTTATATACTTTTTTGTAGCTCTTATGAGCATTAGAAAGCTGGAGGTTCCTATTAAGGACACTGTAACCTTTTTTTCTGATATTAACACGTAGGCCCCTTTGTGGGTTTTAACAAAAAAAAATATGTATACACATAAATACACGAAATGTGTATGCAATCATACACCCGCATGGGTCCGGGCGAGCATGTTATGTGTACACACATGACTTCTAGAGATTCTACGCGGGTTAGTAAGTGAATTTAAATTCAAACATGATCCTTCTATGCGTGTAAATTAGAGTCGACATTGTCTGAGCCATAAAAGAAAATGGTCGCGTTATCGGCTGTGATATTTATTTTAATACATTTATATTAGGTCTTCAAAGCCTTTAACTAGGAAAATCCATTAACAAAACCATAGCTGGCAATGAACCTGATCATTTGTCGGCAATTGATAGAGTCAATAGGGTTCAATCAATAAAATGCAGTTGCCCATAAATACCTTGATAATAGCCATGTTGACAAAAAATCTCAACCGAAGGGATTAATTTCAAATATTCAAAAAATGCCAAAAAATGACCATAAAATCCAAAATTCCAAAAATACTGAAACTCATGGTATTTAAAATTAAAACGAACCAGCAAATGCTTAAAGCAAATATGCATAAACCCTCCATAACAGTTTACCGAGGTATACAAATATGAAAATTACTCCAATTCATAAAGAGCTAATGTATAGTCCAGAATATTACTATGATTCATTCTCAATCTGTCTCTTATTAGTAAAGACGTGACATGTATCCTCTTATTAGTTGTTTCATCACCAAATGACACCACACTATGGATTCTGACGCTAAATGGCACCCTAGGTAAACAGTTATGATCGGGACCCTTTGAACTGGGTGGTTCCCCGCAAAATGGTACCATTATATTATGATCATGGTCAGCGCCCGTATGCTCTCCAATGACATCAAATTCTTGAGATATGAATCAATAGGATACAAGTAATATACAAGTGCATCACACAAAAAAACTTAAACACGATGAATTTCAATATGCAAATGCACAGATATATGCAAGTGCATTATGCATCTACATTAAAATATGCTGAAAATGCACATATGTTGGAAAATTCAATATACAAATGCTCTGAGAATGTGCAAGTGTATTATGTATGAATATTTAAGATGTACATATATAATTTGCACTAGTAAACATGCAACATGTTCAAATAAATGCACTGAAAAGCATACCCACATATGCTCTAATCAATATAATAAACTTCAAAGCCTAAGATTTGACCATGCTACAAGGGTTAAATCCCAAGTTTGACCCCCTCCTTAAAAGGACTAGAGTCAGCATGACTTGAGCCAACGAATGAATATACAACCATAAAATCAATCAATATATTTGTTTTAAAGTTCATATTAGGCCTTTAAGGCATCTTCATACTTGTCAACAGTGAATGGTGCACTACGACACAAAGTTTCCTGTGGAACCATTGCTCATATTATATATATATATATATATATATATTAACATTAATATTAAAATTAAATACTATTAATAACAAGTAATAGGTTGACTAAGGCAAAATTTAGGCATAAATATCATGTAAAATAACAAAAATGACAAATTTAAAATTTTACCTAAACTTACATCAATAGATTTGAGCAGGATTTAAATATAATTTATATTAAATATCGCCAAATAACAAAGATCATAGCTTTAAATCCTACAAAAAAATTAAATCCTTTATTTTTTTTAATATTTTATTAATTGGATGTTTAATTAATTAATAATTAATTAGGATATTAGTATATAAACCTTAAAAATTATAATTATAATTTATAATTTGAAATTTATAACATATTGAAAAAATAATGCGTGTCAGTTGCACCTTCTGTCATGTGCCATTGCCCATGCATGGCGTAAATAGCGCATGCTATTTTGATGCGCTGAACTAAGTAAATAGCACCATATGTGCGTTGTTCGTGCTTGCACCACGACACACACCATTCTGTGCCATTGGCATATATGTGCATCTTTAAATAAAATTCATCACAAGATATAAGTTAATATCTACACAATATTCCCTAAAATCAATAGGTGAACCCAATTCAAACATAGTTGACAAGGTTCAAATTACAAAATCCAATAATGGTCTTATTTAAAGTGAATGTCAATTAGAGATGACTCTATATTTGAAAATATTCTTAAAGAACTAATAAAAGTACAAGCATTTTACAAGTAACTATAATGTCACCACGATTTCGTCCTTATTGAAAGTTGCTCTCAACCATAGGGGAGTCTATATTTCAAAACATTCACATAATCCTAATGAAAATAAAACCATTTTACAAGTGACTATAACGTCGCCCCAATGATGACCGCATTCATAAAAGATTTCAAATGGAGGGCACTAATCACTAAAGGACTCATATTTCAATATAAACCCAAAGTTGAATATTTTTCAAAATTCTAAAATTTAAATTGAAATTAAGCTCATAAAAATTTAAAGTAAAATCCATCTAGCCTCCACAACTATTTATCATGGGTGATAAATTTAAGAATATTTTTAACTAGCTGAAGTAGAGGTAAATATCATAACGAATAATCAAATGTTATTTATGTCTGTTTGATAATTAAAATCATTTAACATTTTTAGGCCAAATTTGATTTCCCTGCAAATATAAAACATTGGATGCTGCAATCTATTGGTGTCAAGTGGCGCAATTATAAAACCAATTTGAAAGCAGAACATTGGGATAGTAGACCAGTACAAGAGATTATGGAGGCTGTCCCTGCAGGAGTAGACCCAGTGCAGTGGTGCCAACTAGTTAATAAGTGGTCACAACCCCAAGACAAGGTGAGTTAACAAAATAAACCACGTTAAATTTTTTTTTTCAAAAATGAAATTAATATATGATTATTTGTTGTAGGAGAGGGCAGCAAAAAATGCGGAAAATGCATAAGGAGACAGGAAGAAATGGTAAGTAATCAAAAGAGCAATATAATTATATTTTAATGAAAAAAATTTAATTTTAAATTTTTGTAGTCTATACGAGATCGCTTGTTATTATGGAAAATCAATCGTATGCGTAAAGATGGATCATGGTCGTCTGAGGAGGCCAGACAAAAATGGGTAACATCGTAAGCATTTCACATGATCGGTTTATTGAATGCTAACTATGTATATAATGCAATTTTATTTGAAGAGAAAAATTAATTCTACTTGCTTGAGCTTTGAACGATCTTCATGAAAATCAATGCCCTATGCATATGAAGAGTACAAAAAATAGCTTAATTTTAAAGCTTGCTCCATATGCATATAGCAGCCTTGATGATTTTCCCTTCAAATGATGGTGCCTAAATAACTGAATTAAGCTTATGTAAACCATTTAACCTTTTTAATGCATTTTTGTGATAATAAAAATAAACTAATCGCTGTGTTGGCTTATGGGTTCAAAACAAACATATCCAAATATTAAATTATAATTTTATTCCTTCTAATAAGCATAATGAAAATGAGGAAATTGCTGAAAAAATGCTTATAACATATAATATAATGACATGTGTCGTTAAAGCCATAAGCAATATAAAATGCCATAACAAACTAAACATGACTAACACAACAACAACAACAAACCTTTATCCTACACTATGTCTGGTTGGTTACATTAATTTGTTTTCTTCGTTGTCTTAAAAAGTGTCAAATTTTCATTTAAATCAAATAAAAAAGACATTTTTAATATTTTTGAATGAAGTCTTTTTAGATCCATCTCTATCTTTCTTAACATAGGTCAAATCTAATACATCTACTCTCCTAACTTGGCAATAAGAAGGCTGACGTTTTATTTGGCCAAATCATCTAAGACAACACTCTAATTTTATCTGCCATTGCAGCAACTTTTTCACATATATAATTATTTTGCATTTTATCTTTTAAGAGTAAATCTACTCATCCACTTTAGCATCCTTATGTTTTCAACTTTTAACTTAATTTTATGCTTCTCTTTTAATGACTAACATTCTACACCATAAAGTATTGCTGGTCCCACTACCATCTTATAAAATTTTCCCTTAAGTTTTAGGAGTACTTTACTATCACACAACAAGTCCAATGCATTTCTCCACTTCAACAATCTAACTTGAATTCTACTAATAATATCCCCGCCTATTTCATTCTCGCTTTGAACAATAGACCCGATATTTCTAAAATATGTACTCTTTTTAATTACTTAATCACCCAATTTTATAATCCCACTAGTAGATCATTTTTTTGGGGGACATTTGAGCCAATTAAGACAAACTCACACACACATCATATATGCAAGCTTTGAACCTAAGATCTCTTAGTTGGTAGCAAAAGTTCTCAACCATCATATCAAAGTGAGCTGCATCCAGTAGATCTATTACTACTAAAAGTACATGCTTAGATCTACTCAAACAAAAATGTTAAGACTATAATTGAATTCTATAATTCAAATTTTCACTCCTCTAGACTTGTCAATAAGAAGAATATCATTAATGAAAAACATATATTAAGATGCATCTTATAAATATCTAGTAAGGCCATCTATTACTAAAATAAAAAGACATGGGCTTAAAGTAATCAGACTAAAATAGGCAAATTCTTAGTCAAACCACCTTGTTTTTGAAGGCAAGTAACAACTCCTATATACATATTCTTAACGATTTAAATATAAGCATTATTGACTTCTATTTTTATCTAAAACCCTCTAGAGTACTTCTCTTAAAAATTTATCATATGTTTTCTCTTAATTAATAATATCATATGTAGATCCTCCTTACTCTCTCTATACTTCTTTATCAAATCTCTCAACAAATGTATAATTTCCATGTTAGACATACCCGACATGAACCAAAATTTATTTTGAGAAATATTATTGTTACATTGTAACTTAGGCTTAATTACTGTCTCTCATAATTTTAATGTATAACACATTAATTTAATTAAACCTATACGATGAACCACACGCAAGGGGAGCAAAACTAGCGAATCTAGCGACGCTCACTTTGACAAAAAACACCACTTGAAAAATCAAACATCTCCAATTACAAAATAGACTGCGCTGTTACGATCAGGACATCAAATTCTTAAAAGTTGAATGCCCTCGCGGTCAAATCAGATGAGATCGGTCCAAAGGGGCGATCGACACCTAGGATTGATGCGCGATGTCACCTGAACTATTTCCAATTGCAAAATGGACTTAACAGTTGTGTCTAGAATGCCGTCAACATTCAAAATCTATATCTTATTTGATTAATCGGGATTGGCCGAAGTGGTGGCACACGACCCAAGGCAAGAATGTATATATTGAGGAAAGGATGCCTTGACACTATCCAAACGATATATGTTCATGAAACGGGCTTCACCATTATGATCTTGGCATCATAAATACTCAAGAAATATATTATATATATTAAATTAGGATCATCCAAAGTGGTGGCACAGATCCCAATGTAATATAATGAATTTCTAAAAAAATGATGCTCAATGGCACCCAAATGATGTCTGATTGACAAATGGATTTCACCGTTGCGTTCAGAATGGCACTGCTACTTTAAATTGACTATCAATTTATTCAATTGAGGTTGCACATGTAAATCAATGCGGTTTTGATGCAACAATACGCATTTCAAGAAAAATTGGCATCGACACTGACCAAATGATGTCCAACCGCGAAACAAACTACGTCATTGCAATTGGAATATTAGCAGTACCCTTAATACACTACCAATTTGTCCGAAAGAAATGATGTGATGAAATCGACTCATAAAGCAAGGTGATATGCATGTAAAACGAGAAAGCATACGAATCAAGGCAATTTTTGAGATGATTAATTCACTGTTATACATTGATTCAAGAGTAATACTAGTAAGAGTTTGTTATTTATATTTCCATTAATTTAGTAGAAAATTAAAAGTCAAAATAACAAATCAAATCAATACTTAATTACCTCAAACATTTTATGATGATTTTGTTTAATCCCTGAAAATTCGTTGACGTTATGCGATGATTTTTATTAAAAGCCTGTAAATCTCGTTGAAGCTAAACCAAGGTACAATTCATCTCGATCGCTGTTTATAGATGACCTGGTCGTTAAGAGCATAGACCACAAAGATCACCTAAATAACCTGAGGATTTTATTTGAGAGGAACAGCAAGTTTAATCTGAAGATGAGCCCTCTTAAATGAGCCTTCGGTGTTTCTTCTGACAAATTTCTGAGGTATGTCGTGCGATACCGAGGTATTGAAATTGACCCCAATAAAATTAAGGCGATCATGGAGATGCCACCTCACAAAAATCTTCGTCAACTTCGCTCTTTGCAAGGATAATTGACTTTCATTCAATGATTCATATCGAATCTATCAGGTAGGTACCAGCTATTCTCCAAATTGATAAAGAAAGTTGTTCACTTTAAGTGACAAATAATGTTAGGAAGTATTTGATAGTATCAAAAGATACCTATTGAATTCGCCCATTCTTGCAACATCGATTTCGGGAAAGCCTGTCATACTATACATAACAACACTAGAAGAGTCTCTAGGGGCATTATAGACCCATCACAATGAAGAAGACAAAGAGAATGCGCTCTACTACATTAGCAGGAGATTGACTAAAGCATAAATATATTATTCTCCAATTGAAAAATATTGTATGGCATTGATTTTCGCAGTCAAGAATCTCTGGCATTACATATTATCTCGTAAAATTATGTTGATATTAACGATCGATTTGCTTAAGTTTTTTATGACAAGGTAGCATTGATAGGTCGTCTAGCCAGGTGGGCAGTAATATTACTCTAGTTTGATATCACATATATACCACAAAAGACAATAAAGGGACAGGGCTTAACAGATTTTCTTGTCGCACATCCTATCCCTATCGTCTCACCGCTTAATGAAGATTTTCCCGATGAACAAATCATGCAGGTCGAGGAAGAGGAGAAACTACAATTTTGGGAGATGTATTTTGATGAGGCTTCGTTGATTAAACTTGCCCGACTTCCAAATCTCGCAAGAGCTCGAGCCAGTATTAGTCTCATTTTGATATTGCTTGAGGGAAGCATACTAAGATTTTTATTCAGTTTGATTGAGCCCATAACTAATAATGTAGTCGAGTACAAAGTTCTAATAGTGGGACTAGAGATTACAATCAATGCTAGAATCACAAATCTCCAAATCTTTGAAAATTCATAGCTTGTGGTAGATCAAGTTCTAGACATTTACAAGATTTGCAAATTTAAATTGGCCCACTACGACCTACGAACTCTCGAGCTTTTGAAATAAGTGCCAAATATTAAGATAGCTTGTGTTCCTCGAGATCAGAACAACAAAGCAGATTATCTGGCTAAATTAGCGAAGGATGTAGCGAATACGCACGAAGAAGAACCCATACTAATTGGAGTTTACAGTCGTCAGATCTTAGAGCCAACAATCTTGTAATTCTTGCTAGCAGAGGGAATATCATATTCAAGCTAGCAAGATACAACCTCGGTTGATCCTCAATCCTCCCAATAAATCATTATTGAAAATCAACCAGAAGAATGTTATATAATCAAGAGACATAAAATTAGTAAATGCTCGGAATCGTGACTACATTGTTTAGATGTTGAAGTAGAAGACGATTAGAGATAATCACTCATCGAATACTTAAAAAAAAAACTCCCAACAGATAAATCTCTAGTCACATAAATTTGAAAGAGGGCATTGCAATACACGTTTGTCAACGACACACTGTATCGTTAGGATTTCGATCAAATGTGGCTAAGATGCTTGGTTCCAAGGAAGCTGATAGAGTGGTGACAAAAGCCCACGAAGTACTTTGTAATGCACATAGGTTAGGTCATAAAATGATCGCTAAAATCAAAAGGATGTTTTACTACTGGCCAACAATGGTGACAAAATTCATTAACTACGCAAAAAGGTGCCATGAATGTCAGATTCA